TGACACCACACTGGTTTTTGTTCTGTCATCAACAACCCTCACAATAAACTGATTTAAAAATTAAGGAATTATTATGGGAGAAATATTTATTTTATTTAGAATATACTTTATTGAAAATAAGGGGTCCTATCTATACAAAAAAATGTGCTAACAAAACTGTTGTCCATTTCAAGAGTTTAAATCATGTTTTTATTTTTGCCTAGATAATATTGTAAATCATCAATAACATGTAGTATTTGAGGAAACTGTCTTGAGCATGCCTAGGTATATTATATTTGTCCATGTGTCTTTCTGTGATTGTTGCCTTTTTGTACTCATAAGTTAATGCATATTAGCATTACATTACATTGCATTTAGCTGACGCTTTTATCCAAAGCGACTTACAATAAGTGCATTCGACCAAGAAGATACAAACTTGAAGAAAACAGAATCATATAAGTGCATCAGGTTTCATAGAGCTAAACCATTTCAAGTGCTACTCAACTGGCTTTAGATAAGCCAGTCCTTTGTTAGTATGTAAGTGCTTAGTTAGTATATGAGTGCTTAGTTAGTAAATAAGTGCTTTTTTCTGGGTTTTTTTCATTTTATTGCTCGATGTGGAGTCGAAAGAGATGAGTATTCAGTCTGCGCCGGAAGGTGTGTAAGCTTTCTGCTGTCCTGATGTCAATGGGGAGCTCATTCCACCATTTTGGAGCCAGGATAGCAAACCGACGTGTTTTTGCTGATGGGAACTTGGGTCCCACTCACAGTGAGGGTCCAGATAGATTAATAAATATATCACAAGCCTGGGTAGATAAAATAAGCAGCAAGCAAGTGTATAAGGGTTTATAACAGGGCTTTTACACTCTGGGACTAATTTGTTTAAGTCTTGTTCATGTCCGCAGGCGCCACTCTCTGCGTGATCTGCCAAGACCGGAGCTCCCTGCGTCAGACCATCGTCCGACTGGAGCTGGAGGACGAGTGGCAGTTCCGCCTGCGGGACGAGTTTCAGACCGCCAACTGCAGTGAGGACCGGCCCCTCTACTTTCTGACTGGCCGCCATGTTTGAACCTGACACATGGATCCACTGCTCGGCTGCAGAAACACTATAAAAAAGGAGGAAATACTTTATCCCAAACGAGCCAGCGATCGTAATTGTTGCCTTTCCAATGGAAGGGCAAAGGGGAAAAGCTGGAGCCCAAGATCCAAGGTGGACACATGTGCACTATGTCTGGCTCTGAACAGGGTCGGTGCTTGTTTTAACTTTTGCTTGACGCTGGGTTGGTCTCCACTCGAGTTTGTGTTCTACAAAAGAAAAGACTGATGTGGAAAAAGCCCAGCTGAAACTGAACTTTATTTGTTTTGATGTTCGCATAAATGGACGATCCCAGATCAATGATGTGACTATTTGAAGAATGTATCTGTACATAAATATATGTACTTTGACAGCAGTATGTCCTTTTCTGGATATACTGTTTATCTCAGGGTTTTAAAGGGAGATCAAAGGGAGGTCGCTGAAGCTGTTAGCTCACCGTGTATTGTTGGCATTAAGTTATGTTGGCACTAAAGACATCTCAGCTGTACCTTGCCTTTCCCCTTCGCTTTTCTTGTACCTCCTCGCCTGCTCTGCCTCTCAAACAAAGCTCATTGACAAGTCAACACACTACATTAAATAAATATCAACATAGAGAATGGCCTGTAGCCTATTTGAATCATAACACAAATGAAAATGGGGACTCCTTTTTTCTTGTGCCTCAAAAAATATTTATGTGGCACTGATAATCCTTCTGACGGGGAGCTATACAGTATGAGTGTGGTTTAGTCTGTAAATGACTGACACATTCATTTATCCAAAGACTTTGACTACAACTAGAGTAAAGTACAAGTTGTGTCCTTTTAAGAAATAGTTGTGTGTTGGCTTAACTACACAGCTTTGGAGCAGGTGTGTTGTCTAGAATAGACTTATCTGTGTTGTTTTGCTTTTTCAACGTATCTGTTAATATTTTATGCCAATCAGGCTGAGCATCATGGAAGTGGGATTAGTTTATTGGTATGTTTTAAATTACATATGTTTTGGTTAGGCATCTACTGACTTGAATACTGGGTATTTTAGCATAATCACATAAAGTCAGTAAATGCCATATGATAAACAAGCCTCTTCACTGCCAAATATCCTGCTACTGACTGTGCCTGGGATTTCACTTCCTGTTACAATGTTCTGAGGTTTATTGTAAGTAGATGGTAATGGCTACCATCCACACTCACAATCTGCCAACCTTTTGTCCCCATAACAGAGGAAAATCAAGGAAAGGGTTACAAACTGTGAAAAGCAGTTGACCAGATCATTTCATATACTTGAAAGAAGAATGTTTTTGTATGTTTATGTGCAGGGTTGTCCAAAGAATGTGCCTTAGGTGACGTTTCATACGGTCACAGCTTAAGTCATTATTTTTTTGGACCAATAAGAATGAAGAAACCATTTAACTGTGAGGCGAAGAAGTGTTGTTTGTCTGATTGAAGCAAAATGAAATAATTGCATTTCGTACTACTGTACTGTTTAAAGCTTTGTTTACATTATTAATATATTATATCATTCCCCAAACCACTGAGGGTTACTGATGTTTTTTTAGTCTTGTGTAACTTCTGCCAGTCTGTTTCAGTCATGACGTCTTTCTGCATTTTATTTGATGTTGCAATGGCAAAAATAATCTACCTAGATGTGTCCTTAACCATATGTCTGTATCCCGTCCTGTTCTTGTGTTGGATTTTTATTGAAAATGAAAATCAGGTCCATGAGGGATTCTTATTTATTTGACAAGCATTTTGGACTGATAATCATATTGAAGTGTAATATTTGATTGCATGCTTAGCTCGCTTAAAATGAGGGAGTTTGTCCTCTTCAAAACCATCCGTGAAGGCTTTGCACAAGAGCCAAAGAATGATTCTTAGATCTATTGAATGTCAATGGGGGAAGGAAATGTAAACTTGCACTAGTTGCCAGCAGAAAAAATATATTTCCCACTGTTAATTGCACGCCCCCAAATTAGTCCAAATATAAGACTGGTGATCAACATTTTAAATTAAACTCCAATGGTCCGTAGAATGTGTCTTTCTTTAAATAATTGAACACTTAATATGCAACTTGCTCACACAATCTTCACTGAAATGTGTTTGAAAACCATGTGCAGCCCAGTGTTAGCCTTGGTGTCCGGGTGATCTACCTCATGTTTATCATTGTGGTTGTGGGCTGTGAACATATGACATTTAAGGCTATTGTTGTTGAAAATGTATGAATGTAATAAAATGGCATCTAAAATCATGTCTCTTTTTGTATATGGTTTCACCTTGTAAAAACTCAAGCTGTGCAGCTGCATGATTTTTATTTTATCTTAGTGGACTTACTTAAGGTTCCCAATACTGCTGAATGATCTGATGCAAGTACATTAATTCTCTTCTAAAGCATGTTGTTGAAGTGAATAAAAGAACATACTGAATATGCAGCCCTGTATTTGGCATGAGATTTGAAATCCTCTCATCAATTTAACCCTAAATCTTTTTATTCTCTTAAAGAGTGAACACCAGGACCCTGCTTGTTTCCTTGTCACCTACTTTCCTAATTTCGGTTTTAACTTCGCACCTCTGTAGCTTTGCACTGTGACTATAGTTATCACAAAATGGCTTCATGATGGAGGCTATAGGACCTTCACTGTTAGGGCACAGGGGCATTGTTGGTCCAGGGATGGGACTATTTCAGCTCCTGCAAAGTAATATTAGAGCACACTTTCCATCAACCTCCAACCCCTGTGTGACATAATACAGGTCTATTTTCAGCCAGCTGCAGGCAAGACAGGATAAGGAAGAGAGGGCAAGACAGAGCTGCTGGCATGCTCTTTTGAGAAAAGCATAAAGATGTTGTGCATGAAGCCCATGGGATTTTAAATGTCCCAATGTGATTCATTTTGAGAAACTGGAGAATGCTTCCAAAGAGTGCAAAGGGTAATTGACTTTTTCATGACTGCAACAACACACCATGTAAGGATTGACCTTTGGTTCAAATATACTGCAATTTTACATGTGTTGCAGTTTCCTATTTCAATTTCATGTGTGATTCCTTTAGCTGTTATTTAAACACACGCTTTGAAAGAAAATGATAGAAAAGTCCCTTGATAATTCTGACATAGTTTTTTCAATTATTAAGTCCTTAGGCAATACAGGAATTATTATTATCGACGTTCAAACACTAATGTGATTAAAAGTATCACTGTACCAAACCAAAAATCCTTCTATTTAATATTTAGAACATTGCTTGTGTAATGATCTGTCACTATATAATTATGCAATGTACATTTTTACATCAGCTGAGATTTCAACGACGTTTATAACAGGGGGATTGCTGCCACATAATATCAATTTTCATAGTGGGTAACCAACAGCAAATCACTCATCCCTCTTGGCAGTCTACTCTAATTACTCTCTGGCTTCCTAAAACCAAAGCTCATCTGTCTGCGGGTTTATTGGGGGGTTGGGGTGAAGGTAAATGGAGTGCCGGGGGATTACAGTTTGCCTTTGGTGGATCACATCCACTACTGTGGCTATGCATATCCTATCAGCAGCTAAGCCTGTGAGTGTGGAGTGAGTCAATTCCAGGGAGCAAACACCCTACACTGTGATGTAACAAGGAGAGGGAGTGTGACCCTGCAGTGACACGTTGCTCATGCAGTAAGCCAGCTCAAGTGGTAGACTGTCAAATGCCTTGACTTCAGGGGACGAGTCTGTGACCGCGGCTGACGTCCAGTGTCAGCTCGACACCCTTACGTGACTGAGCTTTTGACTGGATATTATCAGAATTGAGTCACAGGTGTAAAGCCCTCTTGTTGTAGGCAGACAGAGAGAGTTGAAATAGAACTGCTGACAAAAGGCAGGCAATTATTCTAACCTGCAGCACATGGGCAGTCGGGCAATCCAATATACTCTGTTGAGAAAATGCATTACAAGCAGAATCACTTGAGACAGCAGACAAATGCACCTATACTCTGTTTAATAATTTGTTAAATACAGCATATTACACTCATGGTGATAATGTGCATATACTTGCAATTATACAATAGAGACTATATTTGAATTTAAAATCTTATTGCTGCACACACGTAAGACAGAATTTTTTTTTTTTTTTTCGTCTTCTATTTATGTAGTGTACAAAATGAAATGCAGCATTCTATGAAAACAAACATGTCCTTTATGCTACAGAAGTGATGTTAAGGTTAAGGACATGATGATGATGACACACGTGCTACTTAATGGGCAAAAAGTTGGCAAAACAAAGACACCAAAAATTCCACAGGAACAGGAAGTCAAATTCCCTCATGCAGTGCATTACTGAAAGTCTGGCCGCCTGATCTGATCGCATCCTCGATGCCAACTCATACGCGGTAACCAGCCCCTTGATCATTGTTGGCGAAACTAAATCAATAAACGACTGACAACCAGGTTCCATTAACGATACTATGCATCTTGTAAAGGAACATCCACCACTTCAGACAGCCAATATGTACACTCACTGTCTCCCATGTGCATTAGTTTCTTCTCATCACTGTTTCTAGTACCCTCAGACTCATTTACAGAACTAACCACCAACATCTTCACAAAGAAAACCTCATGGAATTCATATACTGCTCTGTTCGGCCTTTGGGATAAACGTTCAAATATCAAATGAAATGAAGTGCCTTGCGTTAAGGAGTTAGAGGCATGGTAATATCAACAAAAATAGTGCAATTTCACATTCCTTGTCATTAATGAATTATTTTCCATGTTATACAACTATTTTTGGTGAGCGTAAAGGTAGAATATGTGAAAATAAAAGTGCATGCAGAAGGTTAAAGAGAAAATCGACATCTTGGGCAATACGCCAATATGCTTTCTTTCAGAGAGCTTGATTTGAAGATTGACATATTTCTCATATGTAGGCCTATGCTAAACATGAAACAGCCAGTAAGCTAACTTTAGCTTAGCATGAAATCAGGAAGCTGTAGGAAACTACTAGCCTGAGTTCTAATAAGGTATAAAACAATCTGCGGGCCAGTGATTGTAGTTTTGTTGCATTAGATAGAGCCAGGCTAGCTGTTTCCCCCTGCTTCAAGTCTAGCTAAGCTAATCAGCTGCTAGTTGTAGACTTGAAGTGGCATCTATCTTCTTAACTAACTCTCTGCTAAAAAGAAAATAAGCACATTTACAAAGATATTAAACTATTAATTAAGAAATAATATAAATGGAAATACAAATTAAAGGAGAATGATTGACAAAACAAATTGACCCAGGAAGTATGAGTAAATAAATAAAATCCCTGAGGGCTAAAATCCTACTGACACAATTACTAAAGGTTCATGAATAAAGATGATTGAATTTTCATGTATATTTCAAATAAATTGATTGCACAAGGTAAACGCATTTAATTTGTTAGCTAGCTAAATGAGATGGACAAAGATTTAGCTTTTCTAAAGTGACGAACAGCTTTGCTTGTTTTTTTTACAAGTATACCACTAGAACGTTACATACAATTACTTGTAACTGTGCGGAATAAATAAATTAATGTTGAATGCAACACAGATGCTGTATCCAATTAGATGTGCCTTTCAAATAAGAACAAACGTTTTTTTGCTTGTGGCAGGAGGAAGAATAGGATGGAGTGATGAAGGGCAAAGATAAAGTCCGTATAAGGAAGGAAATAAGTAGAATAGGGCTGGATAGAGAGAAAATAAAGGATGGAGGTTATTTTAGAAAAATAAAACAAGAATGGAATAAAAATGGAAGTTATAAAGAATGGAATGCAGCAAGTAAAGATGGATGGCAAACACTTTGAAAATGTAAAGAAAGGAAGGAAGGAGAGAGGAAGTACAACTAAAGGAACACTTTGTTCAGTTCTCTGAACAGGAGAGGTCTTGGAGTCCGGTGCCTTGTTCAATGACCGCCTTGGCAAACTGCTTGAAGACTCGGTCCATGTAAGTGCTCCGTCGAGGCCACAGGCCCTCAAGGAAACCAATATGGCCGCCGTGACAGGTAATGAGCAGGGCCAGGTTAGGATTCTGCTTCACGGCCTCCACTGGAATGGCTGCAAAGGAAAGGTCCCCTATTATACTGTTTTTCATCAATATATTATATGTCTCAGATACAAAACATGTCTCTGAAGTGTTTGGCTCAAAATAACAAACAGATCATGCATTGTCGCATCCCATAAACCCCTCTGTTTCAGCCCTGTTTCAAAAGTGCTGATTCTCTGTCTTTTACTTTAGATGAAAATAAGGAGCCACTCCCCTCTGCGAGATATTTGGTTAAAAAACCACAATGGTGCTCTAGCAGGAGATTCAGGTGATAAGGTGGGGGGGTGTACCTTGGTTGGTTATTGGCTAACAATCCAGAAAAACCTTATGACATCATAAAGTGGCCAAAATCTGATCAGCACATTTTCAGACAGGTTTTTATATAATTGGATCAAGACAAAAAGTGAGCGAATATCTTTTCCTGAAACTTTCAGAATCTCTTTACACAGAGGGGACACATGTTGATGTATAAAAGACATGAAAAAGTGGATTTTGCATAATAGGTGACCTTACGTGCTGTGTTTTAATATATATGTAACATCAGCTTTTCTAATGCATCCAATCCATACTAACAAGGTTTTGTACAGAAAACCTGGTGAGGGGGCTGGGACTCACCATGCGACGGTGAAAAGACATCATCAGCAGCATTCAGACACAGCATTGGCACCTTCACAGATTTCAGCCTGTGGACGGGACTGGCATCAAGGTAGTAGTCATCATTGGTGGAATAACCAAACATAATGGAGGTGAACCTCTCGTCAAACTCTCTGATGGTCTTTGCCTGTAGGGATCAGGTAAATTCATTAAAATGTGGCTACTTTGTTTAATTAGACTAGCATTTGTGACAAAGTTCTACCAAAAATAATCTAACCTTCATGACATGATCGATGTCGTAACACTTTTCAAGCACTGGTCTGTGTCTGCAGAGGAGATTAAAAATAAAACTGTCACCGACTACTATGAGCTGAAATGAATTGCAGCTGAAAATGTACCTAAACATGTTAGAACTGCATTATGACACAACAATCAAGCTCCCTTTCAAAGTAATACCAGAAAATGCATTATTGTGCATTTATATCATGGCCATTTTAGGACATGTGTTCAGGGTATGATAATTGGTAAGTGTCCACAGACTTTTTTTTTTACAATGCTTTGTTTATCAGCTAACAAATAAAAAAACACAGCAGCACTTTTGCCTGTAAAATTGAAGTGTAAAAACTGTAATATCTAAATAAGTAATATGGGGGTTTTTCAATATCCCTAAACATTTAACCCTTAGCATTAGCAGCGAGTTTGCGGCTGCAGTAATCCTGCTCAGGCTGACCTGTCCACAGAGGCTTGTAGGCAGCTGGTGAGGTAAGAGTTGAAGAGGAAGCGGTCCAGGGGTTTTTCCAGTGAAGCAGTGCACTCAAACACATCCCAGCCTGCTGAGAAGACCACCACCCCTTTCAGACAGGTCTTATGGCCCTTGCGCCCCAAATAGTTGGCCAGCATCATCCTGAAAAAATGGAGAGAGGGCGAGAGGTAGGGACAGATGGAGAAAAAAGAAAAACGGTATTGGAACTTGTTTCATTTTTTACCAATCCTTCACTTCAATGGATTAGGGCTGTGCAGTAAAAAGCACCTTTTTTGGCATGCTACAATGACGACTGGGATCATAATAAAGCACCTAAATGACACTACATTGTTTAGGCTAACGCGGATATCGAAAGATATTATTAAAGAAATGGCAATAAGAAATACCAATATGATCTATTTTCACTTCTATAACCCCATAAGCATTGGGAGTGTTTAATATTAAAGGAGGACACAGATAGAGAGAGAGTTATACAACGACCTGACTAACTGAACAAGTAAATGTGAGTGAGTTCTACAGTAAATAGTCAGGTGATTTGTGGGTATTGCATTTCATAGAGTGGCTTTATTACCCGCCCATAGATACTCCAGCAGCCATGATTTGAGCAGCTTCATTCGTCCTCTGTATGTGTTCAATAACAGTCTCCAGATCCTCTGTGTTGGCTGCACAGTATGTCCTCGGCGTCTGTGTGGGACCAAAAGACAGCACTCTTTTATTTCTGTTGTTGGAAATGCATTGTAACTCGTATGACGTCATGAACAGTAGACATGTGTGAGACATACATACATGACATATACAGTAGATAAATACAGTATATAATGCCAGTAGACACGTGGACACAGAGAGCTTACAGATGAATATGTAGCAGACACAATCTCCCTGGGCGACATAAGAACCTTTGTTATTTACAGGCAGAGATAGCAGCACAGTAAGTTGACCTGAGTCTATCTCTGTCAGGCTGCACATGGTATTGTCTATCTTTAGGATATATCAGTTAGTGTTATCTGCTTGTGCTGTACAGTACACGATGCTTAGTTAATCTTAATGAGCATAGTAATAAGATGAGGGACGCTTGCAGGAGACTGACGTTTTAAGGTTTATTGGATCTAGTACACGGGTGTCAAATTCAATTTCATCACGGGCCACATTCGCATAAAGGTTGCACTCAAAGGGCCGGTTGTAACTATATAATATATATATAAAATATGTATTATATTACATTATTGCCTCTGAATTGGATTATTATCGGATAGGATAATAACTTAGTAATTAACTACGTCTGAAAGCAGAAGTCCAGGGCAAATAATTGCAAGTCTCTTCAGTGCGCATGTCACAAAACGAGATGCATTGTGGGACATGTAGTTTATGGGAAACCTGCTTCTGTAAAGTGGCATGTAACCGTATAATAAACGAATTATATTCTTTGCAAGCTCTTGCAGGGCCACATAAAAATTTGAAGTCGCGGGCCGGATTTGGCCCCCGGGCCTTGAGTTTGAGACCCCTGATCTAGTACAAGGAGAACAGAAGATGACTAATACAAGCAAATACGGAGATGCATTCCTATTGTATGCCACCATCAATTCTCACGCAAAGCTATTCTTTTTTGATATTCATATTAAATAGGGCGGGAAGTGCACTTGTTTTGGAAGATGGAACATATTGATGGTGCTTCCTATTCAATACATTCTAAGCATGACAGCCGTATCATCGCTCTCTATGACGTAACTGTAGAGACTTTCTTTTCTCCCTGACCCTGCATGGCAATGGGCCGGTCTTAACTCATATCAGATATGAACAGACCATTTCCCATGTTTATGTAATGTGATGATATCTTGGAGAGTATCTGACACCAGAGATGAAACAGGTGATTTAAAATGTGCTGCGGGAGTATGGGGTGAGGGGGTCTCTACTCAGGGCCATCCATACTCTGTACTCCAAAAGCAAGAGCTGTGTCCGGGTCCTCGGCAGTAAGTCAGACCCATTTCAGGTGAGGGTTGGCCTCCGCCAGGGCTGCGCTTTGTCACCAATCCTGTTTGTAATATACATGGATCGGATTTCGAGGCGTAGTCGTGGGGCGGGGGGAGGGGGGGGGGGGTGTGCAGTTCGGTGGACTAAGGATTGCACCACTGCTTTTTGCAGATGATGTGGTTCTAATGGCTTCATCGGTCTGCGACCTTCAGCACTCACTGGATCGGTTTGCAACCGAGTGTGAAGCGGCTGGGATGAGGATCAGCACCTCCAAATCTGATGCCATGGTTCTCAGCAGGAAACCGATGGACTGTCCACTCCAAGTAGGGAATGAGTCCTTACCCCAAGTGAAGGAGTTCAAGTATCTCGGGGTCTTGTTCTCGAGTGAGGGAACAATGGAGCGTGAGATGGGCCGGAGAATCGGAGCAGCGGGGAGTGGTACTGCAGTCGCTTTACCGCACCGTTGTGACGAAAAGGGAGCTGAGCCAGAAGGCAAAACTCTCTGTCTACCGGGCCATTTTCGTTCCTACCCTCACCTATGGTCATGAAGGATGGGTCATGAAGGATGGGTCATGACCGAAAGAACGAGATTGCGGACACAAGCGGCCGAGATGGGTTTTCTGCTACGCCCGCGACCCGACCACGGATAAGCGGGAGAAGATGGATGGATGGATGTAACCTAAGGGCTTATTCAAATGATTCCTAACATGAGAAATATCCAAATAAGTATAAAGTCTAAGGTTGAATATATTTGAATACATGTATGTAATAATGGATAGGAATTAGCTATACAATGAATTCACACAAGATATTGTGACATTAGTAAATAAATATGAAGGCAGATCAAGCTACTGCTGAAATGATTAGTTAGGTTATTATGATACTTCATATAATATTGCTCAGGACATTTTTTCTTTTTCAAAAATGCCAAATATTCGCTGGCTGTAGCTTCTCGAATAAGAACATTTGATGTTTTCCTTTTTCTTCTGTGATATTGGATAGTTACTGCTGTCAAAAGTATACATTACAAAATGTCCTCTTAGGCTTTGGAAAATGTAAACTGGCCTTTTTCCCTTTAGTCTTATGTTTGATAAACCAAGCTATTTGTCTGTAGAGTAGGCAATAATGGATAACATCACTTAAAAGGATTACAGTGTCAGTGATACTGCCACTGAACACTGCCCTGTGCAGATAGGCTCCCCAGCACCTAATGGGTGAAGCACTGGTCTGTGTTAAGCTCAGGTCCCATCAGGAGTGTGTAGCAGAGTGGAGCAGCAGAAGTATGCTCAGTCTATAACGACGAGGTCGATTGATGGATACTATTATATGATATGTAAGAAGTTTTACAGAGATACTGAACATCTATGAACAATATCAGTATCCGCAGCCCTAAGAAGCCAACACAATTCACTAAAACACCTTTAAAATGCAGTAATTTAAATCATTGAATTGGTCATTTCTGTTATCATGACTTTGCTGTGTTTTTCTACAAGTTGTAATATGTGTAAGGCATCTCTCTGCGAATCCATTCCAGGTGAGTCCAGAAATTAGTAAATGTGTGAACAGAAGATGTGTTATCTCTAAAACGTACTGTATATAAATTAAATTATTAATGTTGCATACCTTTAAAGGGTGAAGTCTTTATATAATGTTAAAAAGCTATACTTTCCCAGCTTATCTTGAAAAATACTATATTATCATTAGTATTTCTTCAGGACACGATAGAGATGAACTCTTATTTCGGAAAAGGGTTAAAATCCCCTTTTAACTTGAAAAACTTTGAAAGGCAGGGCAGGTCATTTACATAACATTACATTACATTGCATTTAGCTGACGCTTTTCTCCAAAGCGACTTACAATAAGTGCATTCGACCAAGAAGATACAAACTAGAAGAAAACAGAATCATATAAGTACATCAGGTTTCATAAAGCCAAAACATTTTAAAGGGGACCTATCATGCAAAATGCACTTTTGTACGTCTTTTATACATGAATATTGGCGCGTTTCCACTGCAGGCCTCGCTCGGTTTGGTTAGGCCTTATTAGGCCCGGCTCACTTTAATGCTGCGCTTCCATTACAATTAGGAACTGGGGGTAGTTACTATAGTAACGCAGTGTAGGCGGAGCCGTGATGTCATCTTCAATGAGAGCCCCAGAAAAACAACACAGCCGTTAGCTCTTAGCACTACAGTCGCTGGTTTATTTATGTCTGTATAGGCCGTTGTTGTGAGTGTGGACGGTCGGAGCATATATAACGTTAGCTTAGCCAAGCTCCATTTAGAAAACACGCATTTTAAAAGGGTTTTTCGCCTGCCGTCTGTCTGCAGACTTGTCAAAGCATTAATTCATGGTTTTTACTAACCGGTATCAGTATGTTGTTACTTCGGCATCATTTTGAAACGTGTATTACAATTAAATCACGGTCAAATATGTTCATCTTGTTGTAGTTGTAGCCCCCTTGCCAGCGATTCTCTCTCTAGTTTAGCATACTCAGCCCAACTCAGCCTGGTTGTTCCTGGCCCTAGAACCACGATTTAGAAAAGAAAAAAGGTGAAAAAGTAGCCCCGGGCCAAATTTAGGCCAAGTGGAAGCGCAACCAAAAACGGGCCCCGCACGGCTCGGCACGGCTCGGCACGCTTAAAGCGAGCTACCCGCTGTAGTGGAAACGTGCCAAGTGTCCCCAGTGTGTCAGGGAACTCACCAAGTGTCAGAAAACACAACCCTCTCTCTTTTCCTCCATAACCAAATCTCTAAAAACGGAGCTGCAACGGATCTGATACAGACTGATCCAGATTTGAAATATCTCTTGCGGCTTTCACACCAGCGCTTTTCCCTTTCTAGCTCCGAGCGGGAGCTTTTCTGGTTCAGCTCCGGTTTCCCTTTTCTGCTCCCGCTCTGTTCACACCGCCCAGAGCTGCCGCTGCTGCCTCATGACGTCCACAAAATGGAAGGCATCGGACGACTTTACAAGGGACGACTTTACAAGGGACGACTTTACTTGGAACTTTACAAACATCACAAGACTTCTTTGTGGTCTTCAGCATCTACTTCAACGACGAATCTGCCCCTGCCCCCGCCTCGACGTAAGAGAGACGTAAGCTACGCCGCCTCTTAGCTCCGAAGCTCTTGCCTCTAGACCGACAATTTTTTGGAGCTGGAAGTGAACCGGATTCTAGAGCTAAGAGGCGGCGCCTCTGCGGTGTGAACAGGAAAAACCAGTACTTTTCAGCTCCAGCTCCGAGCCGGAGCTGAAAACGCGTTGGTGTGAAAGGGGCATCTGACTCAGAAACGAGGAGCTCCGCCTATATGGGCAACTCTCCATCGGCCATTGCCGCTCGAAAGCGCTGGAGACGCTGTAGTACATATGCCAGGCCTGTAGGTGGCGCTGTAGTCTGTCACAAAAGCAGCGAAGAAGACTTCTCACAGAATCAGCCCTTGCAAAAACAGGGCTAAAAAAGAGCAAATAGAGCGAAATGAGGCATGGCTAAAATGCATGATCTGTTTGGTATTTTGAAAAAAAAATTCGCAGACATTATATAGGTATGGCCCTACAATATATTATTCAAATATAGCATGATAGGTCCACTTTAAAGTGCTACTCAACTAGCTTTAGATAAGCGAGTCCTTTGTTAGTATATAAGTGCTTTGTTAGTAATTGTATTGCTCAAAGTAGAGTCGAAAGAGATGAGTTTTCAGTCTGCGCCGGAAGATGTGTATGCTTTCTGCTGTCCTGATGTCAATGGGGAGCTCATTCCACCATTTTGGAGCCAGGATAGCAAGCTAAAGTGTTTTTGCTGATGGGAACTTGGGTCCCACTCTTTACCAAAGTAAAAGAAAACCCAGCTCAAACTCAAAGGAGACTATTTAACAAGTCCATATTCTAAGAATGATGATAATATATTATATAATACCAATAACTGGGGAAATGTATCCACTGCAAAGCTACTCAACAGGAAAGAGTAATTTAAAAGGCTTTTTACAAGTCTAGAAATAGGGCTCTAGCACTCAGGAAAGTCTTAGAGGTGGGAGGCATCTATCACACAGCGGGTCATTCTAAAACCAAAGCTCTGGCCTATTTAAACAATGGACGATATTCACACTAAGTGGACACAGAGAAAACACTCACAGGAGCATGCAAATGCTGTATAATTTGCATAGAATGTAGCACAATGTCTAAGTGAAATGAGGGAGAAAATGCATGCCTTACCGCCAGCAATTGGTACAGTGCCAAGGTCTTTGGGTTTAAACTTTTTTTTTCCAATCTCAGGACAGCTGAGACAACTAAATACTGGCTATGACCTCAAATACAGTTTCAATCCCAATGACACTTAGCTCTTTTGACAGTTTCACCCCCTTTTTCTGCAGCTGAGTCAGAATATGGCAAAGACAACAGCAGGTCACAGCCCCTGATTCAAAATGCACACCCACAAAGATGAACATTAGATTGCTTGTAAAGAGACAGCATTTGTTCATGAATGAGATCTCTGTATGGAAGTAATGGTAGGATGGTATCAGGGTGATACAATTGTCCATAAAGAATGCTCCTCTGTTCCAAAGACATTCAGACAGAGAGGGGGGGACATAAAACACAGTGGGCTCGCTATGCACTCAGAGCTCTGGCTTTTTGTTAGCTAAATATACCCATGTGTATCAGGACAGATTTAGCCATGTGTCAGAACAGCACGTGCTGGAAGAGGTCATACTTCTGTGTATCTGCATTAAGATACAATATCTGCCTGCAACTTAATCCTTTATATGCAACAACATTGTCTGTCCAGCATCTGCTTAGAGCTCCCTCTGTGACACGTGTGGAAGAAATATGCTCTGTTCTGGTTAAGGCAATGAAAAGGACAACTCTGTTGACAAAGGGAAAAACAACTGTTCTCAAAAAGCTTTTTTATCACATATGCACCTCAGTGCGGATGGGTTGCAAAGTAGGACACATGTTAGATTCTTACCAGCAGTGTTTCACCGGAAACCCCTCTGTTGTTGAATACCACGCATCTGAAATACACAAAATGAATCTCTTAAAAAAGTTTGAATAGAGCTGCAGAGATAAGTCAAGGGGTCAATCATCAGAAAATAAATGATCAACTATTTTCTGGTAACAGCATTAATAAAAGCTTAGCTTGAATTGAAAACTGAATATCTTTGGGTTTTTGTCTCATGGTGATGAGAGTTGATCCGATTTAAATATGTCACCTTGGGGCAGTTTTCACAATTTCTTGTCATTTGAAAGACAAAAAGATGAATACGTTCATTTTTAGGGTTTGCCTTTTAATCAAAAGCATGTATACAAGGTTGAAACAAATGTACAGGCTCTAATAAGGTTATGCTAGCTTTTTTGCTGTTGCTACAAGCTACCAACTTTCATGTTCAAAGGAGCATGGTGTCCCAAATATCTTTATTATTATTATTTATGCAGAAGCACAGCTGCGTGAAGAGCATTCTACTGCAAAGTAAAGACATCAGCATCCCTCCTGTCATCCATTATCTGGAGTCAGTCCTGTTTTGGTTGGTGTAACTCAGCGGCAGGGCGGGACTAGATGGTGTGTTTTAGTGTGTGTGTGTTTGTGTTCTTAAACACACACTGCAACATAGATACGGAAGCTGGACTGGGCTAAGCTGCAAAGCTTGTACCGGGATAAGCTGTAATTCATTAAGCTACACAGACAGGAGTGAGGGCTGGAAGATGCTGAGTTTTGCCTTGCTTTCCAAAATCTGGGTGAAAGAATGAGTGCAGAGAGTACAGAGAGAGATGAAGGGACGAAGGGAGGAAAAAAGTGCCTCCCTCTGCAACTCTTCAAGCTTGTGCTTCGTTTGGCTATTTACAAAAAGCTGCTCTTGACACGAAGCTTAGCTGCTCACTTTAGTTGTGCACTTCACCTGACATAACCCCAAGGCACTGGAACTCAGTCACCCATTATGCAATAGTAACCAAATCAGTGGAACAGTGGGTGTCACATTTACCTTTTGTTGATCTTGAAAAAGGCTTCAAGGCCGAAACATAATCAAGACATACTAATATGATTGGACAAAATATGTGTAGATGAATGGAAAATTAGAGCATAAGGGACAGAGAGTGTCAGATGTGTGATTCAGTGCAGTGTATCTGTGCTAAGCGCTGGAAGACCACCCACCTATAGCCCAGATCCCGGCTCTGCTGGACCATGTGCAGGATGTAGGACTCTCGGCTTGTGCCGGTCAGCCCGGGGAGAAGGAGGACTGTGGGCCTGGTGGCAGGGTCGGGATGAGAGAGGCTGTCATCATTGTCAAACCAATCCAAAGAGATCTGTCCTCCATCTGGTGCCTTAATAAGCTCACTGCAGAGACGAGAGGGACACGACAAATCAGCCACGACAAGTATTAATTTGTCTCATTCAAACACATGCAAACACTCAAGCACACAAATACATATACATAGTCATCTTCTCTTTCCGGTTGCATTCTTTGCATAATTATTCATTTCTAGTTAGTTCTAGGTGAAGTGACTCCTTTATTGCATCTATCAAAAGCACTCCCAAAGGGGAATTGGATATTTGAGCAGAGCGCTCACTTACAGCTGCCTCATTTCCCTTGGGACTATCTTATCTGTGCGCTATGCAACGCAAAGCAAGTTCAGATAAGGATGAGGGCATTGCACCAGGAGGTTCTGGTAGTCAATCAATTTATTTGCTCTAAAACCCTAGCCTGGCAGATGAGGTCATTCAGTACCAGCGCTTGTGCCTTTTAAAACCTGCACTGCACACACACAGAAGCCAGTGAGCCAACTTGGCGGTAGACATCAGAATGAAATTACAGAACCGCCATGAAATATGCACAGGAAGTTAGACCTTAAGGTCAGCCAGGGCCAATCCAGAGTGACCAGTGCATAGAGTGGGAGGGGAACTGATGCTAATCCTCTGATCGGACAATGAGATGACTGGAATTTCCCTGACAGCCAACGACTAAAAGACATGTCCGTCCGTGGGGGGACGTACTGTTGTCCCCGGAGGAAACGTGTTAATAACTTAAGTGAATACTCCTACTGTCTGTTATCAGTTCTACGGATGAGTCTGTGTGCATTATGTGAACATTTGTCACCTTGGCAGAAGAGACAATCAATAAAGCGTGACCTAACATGTCCTTCGGATAAAGCTGACTTATTTGCAAGAAAATATCAAATTGCGACTGGTAAAATACAATTTGTAGGCCAGGACATCTCTGGAGCACTACAAGTATGTATATTGAAACATAATGTTGCCTTATTATATTATATTATATTGCGGCTCTTGCAAATGTACACATAATGCAATTTTGATAAAATTCCACTTAAATGCTCAGCCCTACAGTAATAGTAATTAAACTGAATAGATAAAAACTGCCGCGAAAAGAAAAATTGTAAACTTTTGATTAAGTGTCTAAACTTTTCCAGCTATGGACAAAAGTTCATATAAACAATTTGGGTTGATCCAACCACGGGTACCTGGCTGACAACCACCTCACATCATACAATCATACTGTACAGGCAAAGAGGCCATTGAAAATAGTGAGTGAATACATTATTATGATGTGAGAATGTAATGTGAATAAATATGTAATGTGTATTAATAATGGAAATAAGTCTCTCCTAATTCAGTTTAATCCCCTCTACAGCATGTGCAAAGGGGGCAAGGAATGCATTTGCAATTAATCTTGAACACAGTGTACATTATCAAAGGGCACGCAGGGCGGCCTAAGCCAGCATCGTGACACAAAAGATTTATTTCTCCTCTGAGCCTTTGAAACTCTGCTAAGAACAAGACTAGGATTTGTTTCCAGTTGTGAAACTGTTCACAAAGATATCAAGAAATACGCAATGGCAGTTTCTTGGTGACAAAGATTATTTTTAAAGGCTTTTCGCTGTGGGCATGGAAAATTCTGCAGTGCCATTTAATTACTCTAAAAATGCCAGAACAATTAAGCTGTCACTATAAAAGCACACACACTGTACTTTTGCAAACCTGAACTTTAGCTGTTGTACAGCTCACACTCTCTTAATGAGGTCAAATACACATACTAAACTAGTTAGGCGTGTCTACTTGCAAGGAAAGATACATTTCTTGGGAAAATACAACTTGTGTGATAGATAATTAGTACGTCAGTCATGGTGAAGACTTACTTTCTGTAGACAACCCCTGGTTTGGCTGTGACAAACGGTCTCAGTAAAGTCTGGATGCGGCTTTCCCAGCACCAAAAGGTGGGGTAGTAGGTCTCTGACACTACCGGACATTGCTCCCTCAGAAAGTGGTAGAACTTTTTACCCCCGGAGATGAGCTGTGGCTTCTGCAACAGACAGGGAAAGTAAGGGTGAAAATACAAGTTATTTTTTTCATTTTTGCCTCAGGGTTTAATTAATTTGACTTTTCATTACATGACAGCAGATCCTTCCATGTAATGAAGCTTAGCTCTTAGAAATGTTTGTAACATCATATGTTGTAAAATGTTAAATTGCATTAAAACTTGCATTTTGGTCTCTGAAATAAACATAAATACTTCAAAACAGACCAAATAATTCTTTAAACAGAAACACATCTGCTTCATCTATTATACTTTAAAAGAGTATATTAAACGTTAAGCCTTCATTAGTATTGCATAACAACAACTAATAAAGGTTTTTATCTTTGATCGTTGATCTGAATGGGATTTTCACCTGGTTAAATAATAATAATAATGCATTTTATTTATATAGCGCTTTTCACAACTCAAAGACGCTTTACAGTATGAGGGAGGGTAGACAAACAAGGACAGGCAAGTAAGTAAAAAATAAAAAGGCAGTCAAGAGGAAGTTGATTGAGAGGGGGGGGGCGGGGGCTTATGGGTAGACAGAGTTGAAAAGATGTGTTTTGAGGCGAGACTGAAAGACTGTAGAGTGTGGATGTGGGAATGGATAGGAGTCCGGCTACGGTGGATCTGAGGGACCGTGGGGGTTGATAAGGAGTGAGAAGGTTTGTGAGATAAGGGGGTGCCAGATGGTAGAGTGCTTTGTAGGTGAGGACCAGAATTTTGTAGTTGATGCGATGGGAGACAGGAAGCCAGTGGAGGTCTTTGAGGACTGGGGTGATGTGATGCCATGATTTGGTATGCGTGAGGAGACGTGCAGCTGCATTTTGAACCCGTTGGAGTCTGTTGAGGGATGTAGTGCTGATGCCGTAAAGAAGTGAGTTGCAGTAGTCAAGGCGGGAGGAAATGAAGGCATGGATTAGTCGTTCGGCTGCGGGGCGGGTGAGAGAGGGTAGGATTTTTGCAATATTGCGGAGGTGGAAAAATGAGGTTTTGACTGTTTGGCGGATGTGAGGTTCGAGGGAGAGGGTGGGGTCAAAGATTACGCCAAGGTTGCGTGCCTGATTGGAGGGGGAAACAATGGTGCCATCGATGGTGAGAGTTATGTTAGTGACCTTGCTGAGGGTGGATTTGGAGCCGATTAGGAGGAGTTCTGTTTTGTTGCTGTTCAGTTTGAGGAGGTTATGTTGCATCCAAGTATTAATAGCTGTCAGACAGGAATCGATGTGGGTAAGGGGTGGGTTATGGAGGGATTTGGTGCTGAGGTAGATCTGAATAAATAAAAAAAAGAAAGAAAGAAAGAAAAGAAGAAAAAAAAAAGAAAGAAAGAAAGAAAAGAAAAGAAAAGAAAGAAATAAAGGAAGGAAATAAAGGCTACACACATCTAATAAAGGCATCGTCTATTACAGTAGCTTCCTTTTTTGATTAAGGTCATTCCACTGGAGAAATGGTAGGATGATTGTAAATAAATCCAGCAATCTAATTGACAAATCAAACATATTATCTAATATGTTTACTCACATAATACATTTCTATATGTCATCATATGTCATCTAACTCGTGCATAATCTTATTCAGCAGGGGATTTGTAATTACATAAAACCAACCAGCTTTCCATGAAATTAATGACGGCAATTTACCATGCAGCGCAGAAAGCCTTGAAACGGCATGTCTAGCTAACATACAGTAACGTTAGCCTAGCATGGTCAATGCCGACATCCAACTGTATGCAGGGGATTGATTTATTGTTGTTACATAAGTGCTGCACATGGATGTAGATGAATGTGCACATCAATTTTAGATGAATGTGCGCATCCGAGCGTGTCTTATCTGCCTGAGATCCATCCCACAGGTGTAACGTTTGCACACTGGTGCACAGATGCAACATAATCGAGACCTCCATCAGCAGGAGCCCCAGTCAACACCATCACCGGGCCGGCAAGTGATGCTCCACCATGACAAGCACAGCGGTTTTTATTGAACATGCAGGACCATAATGCACATAATAGTCCCTCTAAAGCAGGTTATAAAACATGACTTACCTTTGCTACTGAAAGCAAATAATAGCAGGTGTACGCTGCGCTAAAGCCCAGAACCAGAGACAGTCCTAACCCCGATCCAAAAAGCCCAACTTTCACTTGATTTTCCAGATAATGTGAGAGGTCCCTAGTTAAAATGTTGAAATTGAAGTCCAGCTCAGTCCAGATCATTGCAAGATCTCCTGTTTATCCTCGTACTGCAAGGACAGCGGCCAGCTCGGGTGAAAGTCAGCTGTGTCTGCCTGCGAGCTCACTGTGAAGGAGGAACAATAGTAATGGGGACCATATAAGGGGAGATATAACGCTGTCTGCAGAGCGGTGGCGCTTTATGATCGGCTATGTACAGTCAGACAGACAAGCAGGCACAGTCGCTCCCTGCAGACGACAGGGGGGAGGTGCACCCTGCGGCTCTGCAGATGCAGCCTGGAAAGCCTCCCCTTGAACTCAGCCAAAAGACAATAAACAGATAGGTGCAATGACAGCATTCAGAGTTCGGAAGTAACTGAGTACATTTACTCAAGTAGGCTACTGTACTTCTTGAGTATTTCCCTTTTATGGTACTGTATACTTTTACTCCACTACCTTTCAAAGGAAAAGTAATGTTATTTTACTCCACTACATGTATTTACCACCTTTAGCTACTTTTAACAAAATGCATCTCTAAAAATTAAAGTAGTGATTCAAGATTCAAGGATTTTATTGTCATTCGTACATAGCTACAGTGTAGTTATGTCGATGCAAATCTTATAGGTCACATGCTCCTCCAACAGTGCAATACAATAAAACAGATACAATAGTGTAAGTAACTACAGTACACATAAAATAGAATATAAATAGTGGATAAGACAAAACAGTAATATGATTTAATTATTTTACAAAAAGTCAGAACTGTTTTTGTCTATAACAGTCAAATGTAACTCAATGCAACAATAGTATCTAGAAATATCACATTTATAGATAGATTTATATACTTTAAGTACATTTAACTGATAATACTTTTGTACTTTTACATAAGTAAGATTTTGAATGCAGGACTTTTACATGTAGTGAAGTATTTTGATAATAATGGTACTTTTACTCAAAGTAAAGCATCTGAATTCTTCTTCCATCACTGACAGCATCACCGTCTTCAGCTTCTTAAACAATGTAACGTGTTTGCTGCAGTGGTAATCCACATTACAACTGGATTATCAACTAGGAAAAGAAGGCAGCTACCCCAGGGGCTACAGGCCCACAGGGGGCGCCAATTAGATGGTGGTAATTTAATTAACTGAGAATGCGTTTGTAGGACTACTGTATGCACCACTGAAGCACACTATAGGCGCCTTAAGGCAACATATTGCTTAATTTGGGGCCCCATTTAGTATTGAAGGACCGTGGGTAACTGTTTAAGCACTTTTATTTAAATGAAATTCATGTTGAGTTTATATGGTAGATTTAAGGTGCATTTCTGCTTAATAATAATGAAACGAGATTGGAAACAAGTTCAAAAGGGGCCCACAGTAATGTTTTCCCGGAGCTAGAGAGTGGGCTATTCTAATATATGCCAACCGGAGATTGTTATTGTTTGTCTTTGAAAGTAGTCTGTTTTGGTGTTATCAGACATCACATGTACAGCATCTGGTGAGTCTGATATAAATAACATTTCAACTTAGACATGTATTGATTATGAACAGTTAATACAAAAGTAATATACAAAACAAATAGAATATTTTTTCAATATCTTAGTTGAGTTATGTTTACAATTAATAACTGAATTCAGTAAAGTAAAGTTTTAACATGTCCTTGAAAGGAAAAACAAAAGCCATTCCATTTAGAAATACCAGCTGGAATTCTTGGACACACTTTTTCTTCTGTGTCTGCTGGATCTTATTTAATTTAATTTGAATTCATGTCAGCTTCCATCAGTTCAGCTTAAATGATACCATTATACATTAAATGTGCAGTAAACACTGCAGACAGTTTAGTGAGCATGCAAATATATATTGTTCCAGATTTAACAATTGGTAGTGTTCATTAAATATGTACTCAATGTTGCTTTGTACAGAAGTTCCTGCGACTAGACATGCATGTATTTGTCAAACACTGGAGAAAAAATAATTTTGCTCAAAAATCACTGTTTGATTGTTGTTAATGACTGTTTCTGTAGTCTACTTGCATGACGAATTAAAACATTTAAAAGGGTTACAGATTACTGGTATTATTTCAAAATCATTCGACAAAAGATTCAAAAAGATCTGCTTCATCTACTTATTAAAATGGGTTAAAATACAGAGATTATGTGTTTTATCTTTACCACACAGAAACCGAGAATGGGTTTGGACATCCAGATGCGCATGCGCGCCCTGGGCTGGACTCGTACTTGTTTCTAGCCTCTCGTCTTCGGGCTTTGTCGTTCACCTCCGTAGCTAGTTGTTGCTCGTCTGAGGTCTGAACGATGATTGACAATAATGGCGACGCGGTTATTCTGAGTTGACTCCAGGGAACCATCTCTGGCTGACAAAGGGAACATCTTGGATGGATTTCCAGCACCATACACAACAACAATAAGGATAAGCAGCGACCAAAAGGACTACATTTACCTCAACGAAAAGGACTTGCTAGCCTGGAGAGGTTTATCTTGCTAGCATTGCGATAGCATAGCAACTCAGCTCGCTAGCTTGCTAAGTTGAAGAGGTGGCATTATTGTGTGTGGAGTGGAGGAGAGACATAGCCAGCTTGCTGGGTACTGATATCGGTCTAAGCTAGCAATGTTGCTTCTCAATAGGCTTTTGGGGTGATTCGTGTCTTATTCTCAGAGGCAAACCGAGGGTTAGGGTTAGCGCTTGCAAATAACGTTAGCTTTTGGGAATAGTTTTGTGAGACAGCCTCCTTAGGTAGCTAACTTAGCTACTAAGCTAACAGGCTAGCTTTAGGAATTGTTCCAGTCTCTTTCCTGTTAGGACCTGCTCGCACTTGCAGCTGGAAACTGTCCACCGATCGCTAGCAACGACTGCTAGCTTGCAAACTTGTTAGAAAGAGTTTTGGTACTGCGCGTCCTTTTTGAAAATGACCACGGGGAGGAATAACCGAGCGATGATGGAGGGAGTTGGGGCGAGAGTGGTCCGGGGACCCGACTGGAAGTGGGGGAAGCAGGATGGTGGAGAGGGACATGTTGGCACCGTCAGGAGTTTTGAAAGTCCAGAGGAGGTGGTCGTTGTCTGGGATAACGGGACGGCTGCTAACTACCGCTGCTCCGGGGCTTACGACGTGAGGATATTAGACAGTGCTCCAACAGGTAACTTTACATCCGTTCCTTTTTGTTTTTCAGCACTTTGAGACTCATTTAAAGACAAGTGTCTTTTAATGCAACACAGGGTAATGCTCAATATACAAGACAGTGGATCTTTATTGGCCTTCATTTAGAGACTTTGTAGTATTAAGATGCATTTGTAATCCTGGCAGCTATGAAAGTTGTTGCTGTTATGAAAACATAATATTTTGCCATTTAACATAGTTTTTGTATTACATTTTAGGCATCAGTTAATTAGTTTTAGCTAGTTTATTATGTATGTTGAAAGCAGACATTCTGTTGACTACAGCAAAAGTAGATCAGTATTGAAATGTTCTCTGAACAGATGTGTGTCACAGATATCACTGTGTTCAACATATGCTAATAAGCTGTGGTAGATAATACAAGATACACGTTAAGAGTTGAGAATAGGACAACATAATGGCTTGTGATTTCAAATAACACATTTAGAGGAAAAACATGTTCCAACATTCATAAGTATATCAGCAGGATGGACTACTTACCCATGGTTTAGCCTCATCACCTTGTTCTTGCCATTGTCTTACATCCCAACACAGCTACACTTTGCAGCATGTTCCCATTGACTGGCTTCATTCAGTTTATCATACCTGAGTAACGGTGGAGAAGTTGAGTTTTCAGAAGTCCTTTTCATTTCCCCTATCTTAAAAAGAGAATGATAAAATCACTTGTTGCTAAAATTGGTCTAGCTGATATCAGGTGTCACACGAGCATGTATAACACCCTTCAAAATATATAGGTAATAAAGACACGTTTTAAAGTGCACACAATAGTCTCAAACTATTTAAAATAGGCTACTTAAATAAATGTTACCGCGCAGAGGCAATAAACATTGTTGATAATAAAATGTGAAACAGTTTATTCAAGTAGTATTACTGATGTACAATATACACAAATGCCAGCACACAATATAACCCCAGTGTATTAATGTAGTCTCCTTCTGCCCCCCCCTTAGGCATCAAGCATGATGGAACCATGTGTGACACCTGCCGTCAACAGCCCATCATTGGTATTCGCTGGAAATGTGCTGAGTGCACCAATTACGACCTTTGCACAACCTGTTACCATGGAGACAAGCATCACCTGAGACACCGGTTCTACAGGATCACCACCCCAGGCAGTGAGAGGTGAGTTAACCAAGCAGCAATTGCTAGTAATGTTCCCCACCTTCGACCCCCCCCCCCCCCCCCACATCGGTAAAATGGACCCAAGGTAGCCAGGTAATCCCTGCACTGCATTGTGATTGGTTGGCGTTCGCTTTCACTCCCTTAGTGTGGAAGTCTTTTGTGCGTCTCAAGCAAACAGCATCTATCTCTATGCTCCCAGCCCTCAGTTGCCTGGCAACAACAGAGCCTCATTTCAAGATCCGGTCATACCTTTTTGAAAATGATATTAATGCAGCATTTCCTAGTTATGAAATTTACGAGAACAATTTTCTGATTGGTTTTAGTTGTATATCTTCGGCTGCATGCTCATCAAACAACATGCAGTTTGATTGAAAGTCGAGTTTGCAGCTGACTTTATAAATGCAAAACATTAGCGCTTTGATTCTCCAGAAATCATTGTAGTTGCATATGTGATATGTATATTTTTTTACAATTGTATTATAGAAAGATAGCTTCCTGTTAAAACAATGTACTTTTGACGTATGCAATAACTGTCCCAGAAGTTACTCATCACATATAGTAACATGATGAATTACACTATTCCATTTGTTTGCAGTTATTCTGTCACTGAAATGTTTTTCTCACGGCGAGAGCTCCTTTGTTTTCTCTTCATTTGGATTTGTAGAACTATCATTTATATGAACTTAGCACTTTTGCATGTATCTGAGAATTCATGCATTTAACTGTGAAGATGTTTTGCAGTGCAGACAGTCATGGGTTAACTGTAAAACACTGATGACATAGTCAAAAGCTGGCACACTGAAAATCTAAATGAGTGAGAGTTTTTGGTCAGGATTTAAGGAGTTGCTGCAGGTGCTTTTACCCTTAGGGCAAACTTCAAACTAGG